TACCAACGAATGCAGTGCCGTCTCCACTGATTTCCCCTTCGTGTAGGCGTGCTGGTTGGTCGACAGTTGTCTCCCTACATCGTTCCTGATGTATAGGTCCAGCAGCTTTTCCAGCGTTTTAAGTAGGAATGAGGTGAGGCTTATCGGTCTGTAATCCTTGGGGCTCACGTGGCTGCACTTTCCTGCTTTGGGCAGGAAGACAATCCGAGAGGTCCTCCATTGGATAGGGATATAGCCCGTGCTTAAACAAGCTGTATATATTGCGTAAAGCCATGGGGTGATCACCTCCTTGGTGACCTGCAGCATGGCTGGGAATATTCCATCTGGTCCTGGTGCTTTTATCCTCGCAAAGGAGTCTATAGCCCAGTGGATTCTACCAGAGGATATTAAACCTTTTGGGAGATGCTCTACTCCAGTTGCTAGGTCCTGGTGCTTATTTGCATCGGGTACCTCAGTGCATCCTGGGAAATGCGCGTGCATTAGTGCTGTTAGGGCCTCTTCGCTGTCCTCAGTCCACTGTCCGTCGTCGCGTTTGGGCTGATTCTGTATGGTTGGCTGCTTCGATAGCAGCTTCCGGAGTCTAGCCGTTTCTGGGGCAGTCTCTATATTGGAGCAGAAGTTTATCTACGAGTTTCTCTGCGCCTTGCGTATTTCCTTCTTGTAGTCCCTAAGTAGGACTTTGTATTCCTCATTGATGATGTCATCTTTCGCCTGCTTGGCGATTTTGAAGAATTCTTTAAGTTTGTTGCGTCGGAGTGAAAGGTCCTTATTCCACCAGGGTGGCCTGGTCCTCTTTCTCGTGTCCGATATAGGGCATGATGCGTGGTACGCATCCAGCAGTTCTTGGAGAGGGTCTCTAGGTCTTTTTCTATGTCTTCCGCGGATTCTACTATGCCCGGAGAGATCGCGAGCGGTGTCACTATAGTCTCCTTGAACTTTCCCCAGTTAGTATTCCGGGGGTTCCTGAAGACTGATTGTTTTGGAGAGTGTTTGAATGCGTATTGGAACCGTATGTACTTATGATCTGAGAAGGATGGTCTCTCAAGGACTCTCCATTCTGATACCAAAGTACCTTGTCCCCTTACCAGAGTAAGATCTAGCACGTTTGAGGAGGTGGGACCTACATAGGTGTGTTCCTCCCCTACGTTTGCTATACTCAGGTTGGTTGAGAGTATAAAGTCTAAGAGGGACTCACCTATGTCGTTTATGTCGGGGCTCCTTCATACGCAGTGGTGCGCGTTGGCGTCTGCACCCACGAGCAGTTGCTGGTTCTTCGGGCTGGCTTCTACCAAGCTCATGAGTTCTTCTGGTGGGGCCGTTCTGTCGTGTGCCATGTAGCAGGAAGCTACCAAAAGGCGCTTTTTCCCGCTCTCTAGCATCACCACGGTCAGGTCATCAGAGCTGTAGTGAGACATAAAGTTAGCGTGTAGACCCTTCCGTACAAGTACGGCGGTTCTATTCCTGCTTACCGTTGGTGGATGGAGCAAATTGTAATTTGCGGACTTCAGTCCGGCGATGGCATTGCCTGAGGCGACCCATGGCTTCTGGACCAAAGCTATGTCGGCGGATCCTTGCTCCATGGCTATGAAGAATTCCGCCGACGCGACCTTGCTCTTATGGAGGTTGAGCTGCAGCACCCTGAGTGTCATGGGTACTGGCCTCACCTCCATACGACGGGTTGACTACTACGGTCAGGTCACCGTCCTCTCCTTCGTCGGACTCATCCAGCGTCATTTCCCAGTCGGCATCCACGATGGTTTCCAGACCTAGGTCCTTCTCCACCACATCTGCCTTCAGGGTGTGAGCAACCTTATCCCCGGGGTGGCGCTTTTTGAGGCGCAGGTATACGCTACCCATGCCCCACGCCATCTTCCCGTATCTGGGATAAATGATGTCCTCTGCCTCCTTGTTTATCTGGAGGACTGCACTTTGCCCTTCCTCTTTGGGTGATGGGGCCGCAACGTGCAGAACCTTCCAGTCCGCGGTTGGGATATCCGGGCTCTGACGCTGCAGCAGCTTCAGCGCCCGGTCCGCTTGGATTGCGATGGGGAAGAGTACCTTCGCTTTTGGAGTGGATGGGATTAGCTCCCGGTCCTCCCACCTCTAGCTTGGCTCCCTCCCACAGCGCCTCCAACTGGCAGACCGCTCGCGTCAGCCACTTTCTCGTCGGGTCATCCATGCACTTTAGGATTTTGACCCCTTTTAGCCACCCAGCGCCATCGAAGGTGGGCATGGGAGCTTCGGGATCATCATCCATCCGTGCGTACAATGACTCAACGAGCCGCGCATGCACCATCTTCCACTGCGCCTCGGTCATTTTGCCGGCTTCATCGCTTCTGTCAATGAGGGACACGATCAAGTGTCGTTTGGTCACCTCACTGACTTTTGCGTTTTTTTTGGGCTTTTTCGCCATTTGGGGAGGGCCTGCCTCCTTAGGCCCGCGTTGCCGCTTGCTCCCTTGTTCAGCGCCTTGGCCTTCATTCCCTCGCTTGACCGCTTTGGCCCGTCCCTGCGCTGGGAGCTGGTGCCTGGTTTCGGTGAGTTGAGAAGCTGCACGCTCTCAAGGTCCGAGTCTGTATCGACTAACACGTGAGCGGCTCAAATTCCCATGCGTAGTTTTTTCGGCAGTAGCGTTGCAACTGACATGACCTGCTTTCGTCACATCGGAAGTGTAACCGCTGGCGACACGCTGAGAGGATTGCTCCCCCCCCGTGCCCGCCGGTGGTAGCGGTCACCGACGTTTGGGCTGACATCCCAGCCCTGGTTTCTTTCTTTAAACCCTCCAGAATGGTTTCTTTTTCAGGGGTACCACCCACTTGCGTTTTACGCCTTCCGCTTGTTTGACGTAGACGGACAGTATAACGGAACACATTCAATAAAAAATGATTTCATAGCACGATATAAAAAATATCCACGGCTTCCGCCATGTCACTGCATGTGTATAGATCGGACCAGTTGTAATCAATTATGAAATTATTCAGCCGTACGAAATCTGTCTTGCTAAAGCAGAAGACTTCTTGGGCTGGACTATCAGATTTATTCCGTGAAACAGTCCCCATGTCGATAGTCACATCGAAAGTGGGATGATAGGGATTTTCGGGTTGCGTCAGGGGCGCCACCCTAGCTAAACTAACACTTTCCAGATCTGAGACAAAACAAAGATCAAGCAAGGAATCAAGGAATTATATAGGGACCAAATAGCCCCTGGGATGTTAAAATCACCAAGAACTACTAAATGGAGTCTTTTGGAGACCAACTGAATAGCGGAAAGATGGTTCCAATAAATAGGAAGTTCCGACAACGGAGGAATGTAGGAACATGTAACGAAAATGTAACTACCATTAACTGATAGCTTCACGCAAAGGAATTCAACATTGTTGGATTCCTCGAAAGTTATTAATTCGGACGTGAGAGTGGAGTCGACCGCTATAAGGACACCTCCCCCAAGTCTGATAGGCCGATCTAGCCGGTATATTGTGAACGCAGCTGGAAAAACTTCGGAGCTCAGAATCTCCGGCTTTAACCAGGTTTCTGTGAACACAATAACTTGGGAAACAAATGTGACGCTGTCAGAATACAATTTAGGAAGCTTACTGCGTAAGTCTCTTGATACCAAGGGATTTGGTTAGTTTTGACAGACGTAGAAGGAGCACTGGGAAATCAGGCCTAGGAAGAGTAATTCCTACCGGCCGCTTTTTCTTTTTCTTACCTTCTAACTCTTTGACAACCACATGCTGAGGGCAGGTTTGGGCAGAGCATAGTGTGCCAAAGACTTCGTCAGGAACATTTATCTTGAAAGACGAAATGTTCCTAGGATAAGAAAATTTAAATTTTTCCACCTTAATTTTTTCTCTATCGACTTTTACTTTGCCTTGGATAAAAGCTATGACATCTTCCGATGTCTGATCAGGGGAAAGCCGCGAAACAAATAACTGTTTTGTTGGTGGAATTGCCGTAAGAGGTTTTGGCACGGCAGATTGACCCACCATACCACTTTCGGCCGGTAGTCCGGGCCTGATACCCTGGCAGGACTTGGATTAGGGCTCTGAGAGGACAACAGTTGGGACCCCCCAGTGGACAAAAAGGAACTGGGCAACACCGGGGGCACGGTCGCACCCGCGACGCATTCGGATACCGAATTTGTCCCGGGGTTGGGGGCAGAGTCGAGGGAGGCTGCTGTTGAGAGCCTATTACTGGTGGCTGGGATCCGCCTAGATGCTGCCCACCAGTTGCGGTTTTTTTTGCGCCTAGGAGACTCATTTAACAGCTTGAGGCTTTTAAATTGAGTATCCAGCGCCAAGAGCATATCTTGAGTTTTGCGAAAACTCAATAATATGGTAGCTTTTTAAAACCACCCCTGGTTTGCCGCATAAACGACATCATATCGCTCTCCACCTCGCGGCAGGCCTCACAGCAGTAACGTACGCCGATATTTTTGCACACGTCATCTACTGTCCGTGCAACAACGCCAATGCACTTGGCATGCACTATGTTGTCACACAGCCAACAGGTGATGGTGAGTTCACCGTAATTAATATTTTTCCTACAATTATTAGAGAAGCAGACCATGTTAAAAGCCATTATGAGGACTTACCACTGTACCTTCACTATTGAAGAGAGGGCGGAGAGCGTGAGATAAGCACCGAGTAGAGCCCCCAGTAGAGGTGCAGAAACATCGATGTTCGTGTCCATCGATGTTTTCGAATTTATCAAAAAAAACATCGAGTGAAACATCGAAAAAAAAAAAGAAAATGCAAAAAGAGCAGAAACAGTACAAACAGTAACATGAGATTTATTTGAGATCATTTAAAGTGTCTATTTCAATTCAGGAACAAAAGTTGGTCAACAACTTCAGGTTTAAGCCTTGTCCTGCGGTCAGATATGGTTTGTCCAGCTTTGCTGAATACTCTTTCAGACTCACAGGACGAGGCTTGTATACAGAAAAATTTTTTTGCAATCAATTTCAGTTCGTTGTCAGCAGTCATCTGTAAAAAATTTTTCTTTTTCCATAAATTGTGGCAATAATGACATCGGCTTTATAGGCTGACATAGACTTTACTTTAGGCTTATTTTGCAAAAATGAAAATTTGCTGCTTGCCTCGTTTGGAGTTGATTCTGGTGTTGGTAGACGTCGTGGAGTTGTTGACTTAAGAGAGAGAGCAATTCCAGCTCCAACGCTTTGGCTGCTTGGTCTGCGTTTGAACTTCGGAGAAAGCCATCTTTTTTGAAGCGAGGATCAACGAGAGTAGCGATGCGAGGAATTGTGCGCGTTTCAAAGGAACCAAGTCTTTCCATTAAGCGTTTCTGAACAAGGTCATATATATCTTTTCCTTCCTGTGTATTCTATTACATCAATAAATAAAAAAAAGCATGTTACTAAACTGTATGTAATTTTCTATTCACTAAACAACATAACAAAATAAGAGCTACTTTATTTTAAGGCTTGCGCCAAATTTTTGCGGCATTAGTAGCCAATTTATGAATGTATGTGTGTACATACACATACATGCACACATATCTAAAGGAAGCGTGGGCTTGTAAAGATATATAACTTACTTTTCAGATAATTCTCCATCTTGCCTTCGTCATCCATCAACGTCCACCAACACCATCAACTAGAAATCCTAAATATTCTCAACAATTTTGTTAGTTTTCAGAAAAAACAATAAGAAATTCATTTACTTACAATTTTTTCTCACCGAGCGCAGAGTTGCTTGTGAAAACATCGATGGTGGTCACGAACCATCGATGGTTCCGATGTTTTGAAAACATCGATGTTATCAATGTTTCACTCGATGTTTCGGCACCTCTAGCCCCCAGTCGGACTTTTCCCTAAGAAAGGAGTACTATTTTCTCATAGAAACGGGAGGAGGGAGTCCTACCCGTTTAATTCGCTTTTATACATGGGTGGCCGGGGTAATTCGTGTATTTTGGCATCCGCCGTCGCTGCTCGGGTGAGGAAAAAATTCTGGCCTTTTGAAGAAATTCTTCCTCCCCAGAGAGTATAAAAAATTTGATTTTGGAAGAAATTCTTCCTCCCCAGAGAGTATAAAAATTTATAAAATAAATCATTAAAACTTTTTTATTTTTTTATTTGTTAATTTTTAATTATAATTTATATCAATGGTTATTAAATTTCTTATATTAATGTATAAATCACAAACCGTCCGCGTACCAACTGAACCACTATGTCAAATCAAAAGCTAATGTCGGGAACGCGAATACATACAGTTTCAAGGAAAAAGCAAAAATAAATGTATCCCTTTATCTCTATCTCTCTTGCATTAAAAATAAAAATCCCCAAAGGGAATTTTCGTTCGAATTTTTCGGGAGTTTCTTCCTTACCGCTCTGTAGAATTGGGAGGTACTCAAAAAAGCCCTCCCATTTCCACAATAATTTTATCCTCCCCTGTTCGCGTCCTCCCGAAAAGTCCGACTGGGCCGTTTATAGCTGTCGGGACGAAGCAAACAACAACAAACGCAAAAGGCACAAAAGGGAATGCAAAATACCAGAGCTCGCACAAAACGGTCAACCGTTTTGATCATTCAAATTCTTTCAGAGAGAGCAACCAAATAGTCTGAAAAGGGTCTCCCTCGCAGATGTTCCCGCTCCTTTGCTTTGATTGCGATTCCGGTTAACTGTAACGGGAGATCGCAAAGACAAAGCTTTCGGGAAACGAAGCCGCAAAGAAACTACTCGCTCGCTTCTGAGTCGAAAAGAGTGCCTGAGAGAGAGGGAGAGGGATGAAGCACTCGTATTTTTATGAAAAATTAAAAATACATTCTACAAACAATTTAAACACAAATTAATGAAGAAATAAACTCAAGTTTGTGTTAAATGTTTTTCTTTTCTTTTTGTTTCATTTGTTATTTATTTTAATCATTTAATTTAATTCAATTTAATCATTTACATTTTTAAAACAAACATTTAAAAATCAATCATCAAAAATGAAGAAATTGTGCAAACAATCAACTGACGCTACGCGAAATGTACACATTAACAGCGGGAACTTTCCGCGAAGAGACCGGTCACACTTCAGACAACGAGCTCGCTCTCTCCGCTTCAACCGAGAGAGAATAGAAAAAGGGCCATGGAAAATGTCTCGTTGAGTCTTTTCGCGGCTAACCGGTTACGTAACCTTAAAGAAAAAGCGGCCTGTAGGAATTACTCTTCCTAGGCCAGATTTGCCCAATGCTCCGTCTACGTACATTCCTCCATTGTCGGAACTTCCTATTTATTGGAACCATCTTTCCGCTATTCAGTTGGTCACCAAAAGACTTTCGGATAGGGACCATTTAGTAGTTCTTGGTGATTTTAACATCCCAGGGGCTATTTGGTCCCTAGATAATTCCACTAACACACTTCTTACGACAACACACCATGATTTTATTGCTGGCTTGTTTGACATTTCGCTGTCCCAAGTCAATCCTGTCCGAAATTCCTTAGAGCGCTTGCTTGATCTTTGTTTTGTCTCAGATCCGGAAAGAGTTAGTTTAGCTAGGGTGGCGCCCCTGACGCAACCCGAAGATCCCTATCATCCCACTTTCGATGTGACTATCGACATGGGGACTGTTTCACGGAAAAAATCTGATAGTCCAGCCCAAGAAGTCTTCTGCTTTAGCAAGACAGATTTCGAACGGCTGAATAATATCATAATTAATTACAACTGGTCCGATCTATACACATGCACTGACATGGCGGAAGCCGTGGGTATTTTTTATCGCGTTATGAATTCATTTTTTATTGACTGTGTTCCGTTATACTGTCCGTCTACATCAAACAAGCCTCCTTGGTTTACCAAAGAGTTGACCCGCCTCAAAAATAGAAAATCAAATCTATATGCTAAATATCAACGTACCGGTTCTCCGATTGTCCTATCTAGTTATTTATCAGCTCGATCCACTTTTACTGTGTATAACGCTCAGTGCTACAATAATTATTTGACTAGTTGCAGGTCCCAGTTTTCTGTTTTTGTTTTATAATTTTGTTAAATCCAAGCGTAAATCAATTACTCGTCCGTCCTCGCTCTCTTTTGGTAATTCAACAGCAGATAATGATCTTTTTGCTCAGTTTTTTGAAACCACTTACTCCAACTCAATAGACCCAAATCAGGCTTATCCTTACATCATCCCCAAATCGAACCAAATCTTCAGTCCTACCATTAACGAAAGCTCTCTTCTTAGGGATCTTCATCGTGTTAAGCCAGTTTTTTTACCAGGTCCCGACGGAATACCAGGCTGTGTGCTTAGGAATTGTGCCGAAGCCCTGTGCAATCCACTTCTCAAATTGTTTACCTTATCCTTAGAAACCTCCCACTTTCCCCTTATTTGGAAGGAATCATTCGTTATTCCTCTCCACAAAAAAAGGTAGCAAATTGGATGCCAACAATTACAGAGGTATCTCTAAGTTGTCGGCCATCCCTAAACTGTTCGAAAATGTTATTACTCCTCATCTGCAGCACCTGTGTAGGTCAATTATTTCTCCATGTCAACATGGTTTTATTAGGCGAAGATCAATTACAACCAATCTATTGGAGCTCACTTCCTTTATTATAAAGGGCTACCGAATTAACTTTCAGACAGATGTAATCTATACTGATTTCAGTAAAGCATTTGACTCTGTTAACCATTCTCTTCTTGTTCGGAAACTCGATTTTATGGGATTTTTGACTGATCTTCTTAATTGGATCTCATTTTATCTAAATGGAAGGACGCAAAAGGTCCTTTTTAAAAATAAACTATCTAATGATCTTAGGGTTACATCTGGCGTCCCGCAAGGGAGTCATTTGGGTCCCCTACTGTTTACATTATTTATCAACCAACTCCAGAGTACTTATGTATGCTGATGACGTCAAGCTTTGTGTGCAATATAACGATGCTACTTGCCAATCAGACTTACAGACAGATCTTAACAATTTTCAAACATGGTGCTGCGTGAACTTAATAAACTTAAACGGCTCTAAGTGCAAGCTAATGACATTCTCCCGTGTCACTCCTAAGCCTGCAACTTATACGCTAAACGGCTGCTCTTTGGAAAAAATTAATATAGTTAATGATTTAGGTGTCCGTCTGGATCCTAAACTTGACTTTATCGATCATATTTCGTGCATGGTGAATAAAGCCAGGGGTGTGCTTGGTTTCATTAAACGGTGGTCGAAGGAATTCAATGACCCCTATGTTACAAAAACGTTATATAATTCACTTGTTCGTCCTATCTTAGAATATGTATCCTGCGTTTGAAGCCCTCAGTATGGCGTCCATAGTAAACGCATAGAATCGGTTCAAAAGAACTTCTTACTTTTCGCTTTACGCGGTTTAAACTGGGATGCAAACCAGAGGTTACCATCTTATTCTAGTAGACTCTTACTAATTAACTTACCCTCCTTATCTAATCGTAGAACCATGCTAGGTATTACATTCATATACAACTTAATCCGTGGTGACGTGGAAAGTACTGACTTGCTCGGTCAGCTAAATTTTCACGTACCAATAAGAAACACTAGATCCTTTTTACCATTAGTTTTGCCCCACTGTAGAACATCCTTTGAACTGCATGAACCCTTTAGAGTCCTCTGTGCAAATTATAACGATTTGTATAATATCTAACGTTGATAGCCTCCCAAAACTAAAAACTTCAATCTTAACCTACTTACGCATGCAAGCAACCAATCCGGCAGTACGTCAGTAGTAGTCTCCCCGCATCCTTTTTTTGTTTTTAAGTCCTTCGCGTTTTACTAATTACTAACAGAACAAGCACGTGCTTGGTGTCTTAAGTTCCACTTGATATGTACTGTACATAGTGCATCAACGTCTTGCAATATAATGTTGAGACCTTTTTGGAAATCGGGACTCAACCCTGCGAGCTCTGCAAAATACAAAGCAACCGCAGCAGCCCAAACTAAAATACAATTAAATTGAATTAAATAACACAATAAAGATAAGTAGCATGCACACGCGAAGTGAACGGGAAATATTAGAAACACTAAATGTGAAATGTTAATAAACCACGGAGGTTTTTAGGCAAATTCTACACAAATCGGGAGCACAAGAAAAAACACGTCCGCTTACTGTGAAGGAAGAGACTATGACTGTAGCTAATATAGCTAAAACAAAATTAGAAGATGCAGAAACGTCGTATACAATTTGTGACGACGTCATTATCGTCACAAACAATGTATATACATATTGTGTAAATAATTATCTGTAAATATTAGATTAAGCTTAAGTTTAAGTTTATAATAAGCACCCGGCGAAAGCCCAGCACACACACACTCACACATCGCACGGCAAGAACCCACGGCACGAAGCCGAATACAATCTGTAGTATCCACCCTTTTTGGAATAACAAAAATTTAGGTGAGTAACACTTATTGTTAAGTACAATTAATATAGCAACCTCTGATAACCGCCCTTGCTAATGCACTTGCACTTGTAACTGGTGGAATGAAAGAATGCAAGAAGATTACCCGATTTCACCGCTATATCAAAGCTTTCTACTAAAACCGCATTTTTAGGGAGTTTAGGCATAGAATAAAAAGTTCACGTGCAATCATTCCATTTATATTCGGCGAGCTATCAACACCTATAAAGAAGTCTTTATATATTGTTCGTGGAGAGTGTTTTTCAACTTACACGTGTGATTGACTTTCAATTATATTATATTATATGAAAGTATATAAGCTGATAAATAAAAGGAAATAATATTGGAGC